GATTTATTAAGAAAATTTGAAGATTTACAAGGTTAGTTACATACAATTGCATAAAGTTCTATTAGGCGAGCCCAGTACGCTGGGCGTTGGGCGTGTCCGGGGCGTAAGCTCCGATGGCCGAGACGTAAGTCTCACGGAACTAAGCCCCACACATAAGCCCAGGGGCGTTTTACGAGTGCTCCACCCCGGGGCGAGTCCCAATTCTACCTTTTAAAATAGAGAATGAATAGCTAAATAGGTCTTTGTAATTTTAGTTTGAGCTATTAGAAAAGATAATTTGGTGATTATTAATTTAACTCAGCGGGGAACCATTGTATTTTTTCTATTTTTTTTTGGATTTTAACTCTATGCTATTTGGAAATTGGAACTAATCCGACTAATTTTAAATTAGCATGGCGTTGAACTTGTTAAGGAAGAAACACTTCAGGAAAAACTTCATTTTCAAAGTTCAAACCTAAAATATTTAAGGGCAGTTTGGTACACAAAGCTTGTCTTATGCGCGGGATTCGCAGAAGGGCGAGACCACGAGGATCTATTTTATGCAGCCCCACCCTATATTTCTACAAGAGGCTGTTTCCATAGCTCAAAACCGTGACCTCCTGATCACATGGCAGTAATATTATCAGTTACGCCAAGGCTCTCCTTCAAACCTAAAATATTTGATTAAAGAAAAAAAAAATCACTCATTCCACCATATTTCTTGGTTTGATCATAATATAATCTTGCTCCAAATTAGCAAAAAAAGAAAAAGAAAAATATGAAATGAAAGAAAAAAGCTCCACAAGTATGAGGTAAAAATTTACTCGCAATATTAACAACAACAATAACAATAATAATATATTCAATGTGATTTCACGAGTGAGATCCGAAAAGAGTTGGATATATACAAACTTTATCTCTACCTTATGTGAGGTAAAAATACTATTTCTAATAGATCATCGACTCATTTATACCATCTCACATGTAGTCTTATAAATCATACTAGTTAATTAAAATATATTTTTATCTTATAAAGTAATTTAAATATGACAAATTAATATGATTTGCCATAAACACCATAGCACACCATCACAAACATAGAAGAGAAAGAAGCTTTCACACACATACCTTCCTTCTAAGTCTTCCCAAAGCAAAGCATCCTCTCTCTCTCTCTCTCTCTCTCTCTCTCTCTCTCTCCTTCAATTTTCTCCTCTCAATTCACAACCCAAGTATTTGATTCTCTGTAACAACACTCTATGTTCTCATAGGAGGAAGTGCCAGTAGAAATGGAAGGAACAACAAAACCTCCACAAATTTCTGATATGTTTCACAAATTCGCCCATGTTGTCCGTACCAAAACCTTCGAACTCTTCGCTGATGAAACCGACGAGGAAAATACCTCCAATTCCACTGATGTCTTCACTCTGTTCAACTCCGCTGAGGAATTTATCCCTAATCAAAAAGTCGTCGTTATAAAACCCGATTTCTGCAAATTCCCAGAAAATGAAAATACCCATTTTACTAAATCCCTAATTTCTTCACTTTTTGCTACAATTTCGTCGTTTGAAGCTTCTTATCTTCAGTTGCAAACAGCTCACGTGCCGTTCGACGAAAAGGCGATCGAATCAGCGGATAAAGTTTTGGTATCAGTTCTTCAGAAATTAACTGAAATGAAGAATTTGTATAGGGATTTTAGGAAAAACCCAAGTTGTAAATTTGATGATCTTGTAGGGTCAGAATTGGAATTTCAGGTTCAAGAGAATCAGAGCAAGCTCAGAGTTTTGGAGACTATGGTAAATCAGTTAATGTCTTTTATGGATTCTAAAGATGATGAAGTTTTGATTTTGAGGAAAAAATTGGAAAAATTGGAACTTTTTAATTCCAATTTGTCAAAAAAACTAGGGGTCAAAAATGAAAATTTGGAGAATACCAGTATGCAGGTATTGCGTACAGTTACTGTTTTTGAATCTATGTTGCGTGATTCGATTAAGTTAGTGAATAAATTTTGTAAGTTGTTAATGGAGTTAATGAAAAGAGCAGGTTGGGATTTGGAGAAAGCAGCAAATTCTGTGTATTCTGATGTTAATTATGCTGAAAAAGGACACTTCAAATATGCATTTAGTTCATATATTTGTTTGGGCTTGTTTAAGGGATTTGATCTTGAAGATTTTGGTTTGAGAGATGAAGAAATGCTGTGTAATGAGGATGGTTTAATGTCTGGTGAAAATGATTATTTGAAACAATTACTTGAGCATATTTCGTGTAATCCGATGGAGGTTTTGAGTAAGAATCCTAATTGTGCGTTTTCAAGATTTTGCGAGAAGAAGTATGAGCAGATAATTCATCCTACAATAGAGTCGTCGATTTTTAGAAATTTGGATGGGAAAGAAGTCATAGTGGATTCGTGGAAGTCGTTAAGTGTGTTTTACGAGTTGTTTGTAAGGATGGCAAGTGCGATATGGTTGCTTCATAAGTTGGCCTATTCCTTTAATCCTGTAGTCGAGATATTCCAAGTCGAGAGAGGGGTTGACTTTTCGCTGGTGTACATGGAAGATGTTTCGAGGAAAAGTCAATTCCCTTTGAGCAAGTCGAGGCCAAAGGTGGGATTTACCGTCGTACCTGGATTTAAAATTGGGAGGACGATCATTCAGACACAGGTTTATCTTACTGGCTTAAAATGCACGGAATAGTGTGAACAAAGAGATCTGCACAGTGGTTTACAAGTTTCTTTGCTTTGTTGTGCTTTAGTTCATCTAACTTACACCAAAAGATTCAGAGTGCACCATTTGACAGCTAACTCCCTTTGGTAATGACTTCAAAGAATTCTTGTCAAAGTGATAGATGCTGCATTGCCAAGGGATAAGCCATCTTGTCTTGTCGCAGAAGTTGGTGGCCTTGCTGGCCAGGGCTGGTATGGATGCTCTTTGTTATTATCGCTAGTAAGTGGTCACTGGTTAGTCTAATTTGTGTATTTGCTTGCTTAGAATTTCTGTTTCTAGGGGGTTCTGTTAGTCCTATGAAATGTATGTAAAGCACTGATTTTATGGTTTTCTTTTTGTTGTTTTTCTTTGTATTCTGGTTCTTTTAAATTAGGAAGGTGGGATGAGGTAGTGGGAGAGTACAGCATATTACACAATCAAATTGTATGTAACTCTTTTAACGTCAATATCGACAGTGATTTCAACAGTTAATGAATTCTTTCATTAGTTAGCGTAGTTACTAGTTTTAAAAGTATTGATTTGCTTTAAAGAATTGTTCCTTGTTCTCTAGCCACGTCAATGTATACCCAACCCTGGTCATTGATAGTTTGTGGGCTTGATCAACTATTTCTGCACTGCTTTATTTCTACGTGTAGATTACTTATTTTGAAAAAAGTTTATCTTTCCTTCATGTAGATTGGAGATTCTTATCTTGTATGATATATGTTTTCAGATTCACGAATTGCCTGTAGTTATTACATTGCTATTACTATCTTTCTTGAAAGAAAAGTTAAGTGTTTGTCTCCAATTTTCTGCATGTGTATGGAGGATTAGCTGAAATAGGATGGTCTTGCTTTTTCCATCAGTAATTCATTCTTAATAAGCATGAGCTTTACTTTGAATGTCAATTTATGTATAGGAAGATAAGCAGAACTAAAACTATCGTGTGTTGCTAAATTTGAGTGAAGGAAATTACCATACAGTTAAGTACTCGCCTTTTTGCTTCTCTGATCATTTTAAATGCTACCCAAGAGAAAGGATATTAACTCTCTGATTAAATTCATTTCCAAGTGATGAATTGTGTGCATATAATGCCAGAGCAAAAGCATGCGTTATGTGCAATTCTATGTCATCCACTGTGAGGGCTCACTTATCAGCAAAAAATTTAATTTTTAGGACTGACTAATTTCTTCATAATACTGTTGTACTATTGAGTGTCCTCTCATAATTATGCTATTTTATCATTTGCTGCACATGTCTAAGGGCTTTGATCTGGATGACATTGGTTTGTATGTAATGGTAATGGTTCAATATCTGGCGAAAATGGTTGTTTGAAGCAATTAATTGATCATGCTTATGTAATTCAATGGAGCCTTTGAGTAGGAAATCTAGCTTTGTGCTATTTCAAGTATTATGAGGATTCATCATGAATTTACAAGTTTTACGTTGGTTGCCAGCCTACCGCAGCCCTCCAAGCCCCGGCAATGTGAGCAAGCCCACACTGGCGGAGTTTGTGTGCTATTCCAAGTACCGAATATTCATCCTACTATAGAATCTTCTGATTTCAGCCATCTGGGTGAGAAAGAAGTCAAACTAGATTCATGGAAGTCGCTCAGTGTGTTCTACGAGTTGTTTCTAAGGATGGCATATTGGCATGTACAATTGGTTGCTTCATAAGTTGGCATGTTCATTTAATCCTGTAGTTGAGATTTCAAGTTGAGAAAAAGTTGGACTTTTGGGTTGTTTACATGGAAGATGTTACAATGAAAAGTCAATTCCTTTTGAGCAAGATGAGGCCAAAGGTGGAAATTGATATTATACCTGTGTTTTGTAGTTGGGAGGAGGATCATTCAGCCTCAGGTTTATATAACTGGCTCTATAGTGCTGTAAACTAAGAGAGTACAGTGGTGTGCAAGCTCTTTGCTTGATTCCTTCAACTTAAACAGAGAAATTCAGTGCGCTCCATTTGTCAACAACTCCTTTTGGTACCATAGGAAGGTGATGTGATTTGGCAAGACATGACACATTTTCAGCTTATCGAGGAGACGAGGATATGACCTTTGATAGCAGGTTTTCAGCTTATCGAGGAGACGAGGATATGACCTTTGATAACAGGGTGTGGAGGTCGAAAATTAGGGTAGTTAGTTAGTAAGTAAGTAATCGATTCGCTTTTATACCTGTATTGCTTTTCCACACATATGTACTAGTGTAGTGACTGTAGTCTGAAGGGGAGCCTTGGCGTAACTGGTAAAGTTGCTGTCATGTGATCAGGAGGTCACGGGTTCGAGCCGTGGAAACAGCCTCTTGCAGAAATGCAGGGTAAGGCTGCGTAAAATAGAACCTTGTGGTCCGGCCCTTCCCCGGACCCCGCGCATAGCGGGAGCTTAGTGCACCGGGCTGCCCCCCCTTTTTTTTTTGTACTAGTGTAGTCTAGTATTTCTTATTCTTAGAAAATTATTACAACTTGTTATTTCTTTTGTTTCGGTTATCTTATTTTTGGTTGAGGTAATGCTTCTCTTTCCCATGGCTTATTCACTACTGTATTTCTTTTCCAAAACTGTTGTGTTCACGCTTTCCTCGAATCCAGGGTCTATCGAAAATAGCCTCTCTATCTTTACAAGGTAGGGGTAAGGTTTGTATACACAGTATCCTCCTCAGATCCTACTTGTAGGATTATACTGGGTATGTTGATGTCAAAGTGATAGATACTGCTACTGCTAAGGTAGAGCCGTCAAAGCTGTCATCCCTTGTCGTCCAGGATTGTTATGTATGCTTGTTGTTATGACGGCAGTAATTGGTTGCTAGTTAGTCTAATTTGTGTATTTGCTAGTAAGTCCTGTGAAATGTTTGTAAACCATAGATTTGATGGGGTTTCGTTACTTTTTCTTGGCGCAACTGGTAAAGTTCTTACCATGTGACCAGAGGTCACAAGTTCAAGCCGTGGAAACAGCCTCTTGCAGAAATGCAGAGGCTGCGTACAATAGATTCTTGTGGTTTGACCCTTCCCCGGACCCCGCGCATCGAGGGAGCTTAGTATACCGGCATGTCCCGTTACTTTTTCTTTTTGTTCATTTCTTGGTTTTTTAGCTGCGAAATCCCACTTCTCTTAGGATTAGGATTTAATACACATTATATATGCCTTATATGCACCAGACCAAAATCTCAATATCACATCGAAATCCTAAATACGGAAGAAGAATTAGAATTTTTCGTGACGGACTGCTCTGTTCATGATTTCGAGTGTCTTCTTGAATTCACCAAGCTTCAACTCTATCCTTAAAAGTTTTTTTCAAGTGNATTCAATAGGTTAGGAGTATTGGCAGCTAGGCACAAGTCTATCATTACTATGTTAGAGGAAATTAGAATCAAGTGTATGGAGAGGATGAATAGCATGAGAGAGTTTTCTGTAAAAAATGGGGTAGGTGAGATATCACCCATGGCTATGGAAATACTTGGAGAGAATGCTCAAAGGGCAGCCAAATGTGAAGTCAAATTTAATGGTGAAACAGGGTATGAGATCCAGGATTTTATATATATATATATATATATATATATATATATATATATATATATATATATATATATATTGTACACTTGTGAAAGGTAAAGATCTGAGATAAGCCTTTTTTTTTCTTACTATTTTGATAGAGGAGACAGCCCACACTGAACACCAACCCAATCTCGATAAGAATCAGTACGCTACATTCGATCAATCCACGAAGGTGTGGCACTTCTCCACCTTCTGCTAGCAGCTTTCTTCTCTTATGATTTTTTCTTAAGTAGAGGTTCTTTACCGGTGACCCAGTTGATTCGGCCCCCACTATCCTTAAGGAACTAACCCAACTGAACTCATTTAGGTTAGAGGCTGCTTAGTAAGAGCTAAGTACAGATCTGCTACCAGCTCCCTGGGTAGCCATCCGTCTAATGAGCTAACTTCTTGACCTTGCTCTAGGCCCTCTGGGTCTTTATTTCCTTCTTCTTGTTGCTCCTCGTCATTTGATTTGCATGGTTACCTGCTGCTTGTGGCGCTGCTGATGAAGCCACATCCGGAAAGTTTTAATCGGCAGAGGCACGGACGTATAACTAGTATTAAAACCTTGTAATAGAATATGCTTGTTCGCCCCAAGCTCATCCGAGAGAACAGGAAATAACATCTCTGTACGATAAGTTTGATGGAATATTTGTAAGTTTATAAGCACGCTGCAGTAGATATAGGAACTAGGAAGTATATTAAAATGCTGTTGTCCCAACATCAATTAACTTATTTTGTCTAATCATCTAGTATTCTGGAATTGTCTGGTCCTATTAATTCGGATTCGTATAGTATCCGGTCTATTAAACGAGAAGCGTTCCCTACTAGGACAACTGGCTAGTCCAACTAATTCAGATTCGTGTGGCATACGGTCAATTAAACGAGAAGCGTCGGAGACAAAGTTATCTCCTATCAAGGCACACCAAAACCGTGCCAATCAAATTTCTTTCCCTATTTTTCAAAGAGAATCAAATGAAAATAATTGTGTAGTCTCTACCTTGAATGATTTCAGGCTGTTGAAGAACTAAGCCATCAATGGGAAAACCAATTGTTTCCTATGTTTAACTTGTCTAAAGCTGAAAAACGTGTTTTTTAATTGGAAATATCAAGAGTAAAGCAACAGGTAACCAAATAGATAAATCTTGAATCTCACAAGGGCTATTTAGACCATAGCAACGAGGTTTGCAATTTATGTAATCTAATGAAATTGAAGTTTAATTGTGTAGAAATGAAAGAGTATCAATTTACGTCTCTATTACTCTCAAAATAAAATTCGAAAGGAAAAAGTTCCCAATATATTCGTAACATTTGCGATTATTCTTATATATGCCCTCCGTTTACTTTTCCGCTCATCAAAACCTCCTATAGTCCTATTAACGATTTTCACCATAAAAAATTATTAATTAGTCTGATAAGGTGAAACAACAACAACAACAACCCAGTAAAATTTCACTAGTGG